GATATATGTTTGTTAACCTCCACAGGAAAGCGACCCAAATGAACGACAGTTTAATGATACGTTCGGGCGTATCTCCATTAACGTGCATTAAGCCCGAGGCTTCAGGGTATGACACAAAATTGCAGGACGACCGGAGCCGAGACTGGTCGCGCGGGCTCACGGAACGAACTGAAAGTTGTTCAACGGATTCGTGACTAAGGTGTTCTGCTTGCAACTTTGTTGTTGTTTTGGCCACCGCGAGAAGATCACATTGTTGTATGTTACAAGCAATAAAAGTATAACGTGAAGCTACCCCTGTAACAGGCCGTGAAGGCCCATAGGGCTGTAAGACGTCGAGGCTCCCACATTTTCTCCAGACAATCGGCTCACAGATGGCAGTGAGGTTGTCAGCCTTAGGCGCCGGCCGCCCTTTACTCCCAGGAAGATTTCTGGTACTCATTTCTGTTAGAGGTTGAATTGGCCCTACGGCTGTAGTGTGGGCGTAATGATAAAGTCAATTGAAAAAAATGTAATTATCTCATCGGGAATCAAACCCGCGACCTTCCGGCTTGTAGCATAGTGCCTCAATTAACTACGCTACAGCGCGTCCGCAAGCAAGATAATATAACTATATTAATTATCTGCAATATAACTCTATTGAACTGGAAGTCAAAAGAGCCTGAATTAAATTATCAAGATCTACTTAATTATCATTTTCAATTGTTGCTTGTCTGTTATCATGGAACTGAGTCATCGAAGATTTCAACGAGCCAAATTTTAAATGTAATCTGACTACAGTAACGAAACTCGAAGTTCATCACCGCTGATAGCCCTACAAAACCCCATTACAGGACGCGATCCTGAACCAGTTCCATTCACCGCCCTTTTCTGAACCTATGTTGGTAAAGAATTATTGTAATGCTTTCTAAGTGATTATTTACAAATATTCTCCATGAATTTTCCCTCTCGTTATATCTAAATATCAAACCTATTGTATCTGCGTAAATTTCAACATCGTGAGAATGGCAGAACATGTAACACGACAAACAGGAAACAAACACGTTTGTTTTATATTCGCAGCTACAGACGTCATGTCAGACCTGGAGCAGAGGTCAGCAACCTTCTGCTGTGGCATGTAACACTAACAGAGTGTAGCCATTCTTACCTCTATTACGAAATTGTACTTCGTTTTTGTGTGCTTATGATTAGCTATGAAAGATACTATTTTATTTAGCATTATTCTACTTCAGCAATCTGTTGTATTGGGGCACCATTTTAAATTGTAAAGTAATCCGTCTGTAATGCAACAAAGTCAGTCCTTTCTTAAAAGACACTGGAATATATTTAATTGACTACTAGCGAATTTATTGAACACTCGTGGAAACGCAGAGTTCACGTGACCTCTACTTCCTGTTGCGCCATGCACGTCACACTATTTTAAAAAGTCATTAACTATGTACATTCCTTGTTCTTCTTGCATGTTTCGGCCACACATGGGCCATCATCAGGCAACACTTATTATCTGGGGAGACCACTGCACTGTGCACTTTGCCTTTGTAATCTCAGGCACATTGTTGTTGTTAATTTGCTTCGTGGGATATTTTCATGCTTTTATAGTGGCCGTTCCAGTGTTCCTTTATAGTGTGTCGATCAGTTTAGTTATGTGTGTTTTTCCATGTATTTAACAATTACTCTTAAAGAATATTACAATACATTCTTACAAACAGTACAACAATGTCAGAAACATTTTATGGTAATAATTTGTCAGATGTATCCATCTAAGAGGGAGAAAGAAGAAAAGCATAGTTGATAGAAATCTACTTCCTTTCTTCACACAATCCTAGCATAAATTGAGAAGAAAATACTGTGTACATGCTTCTGGTCAAGAATATATTTTTTTACCCGAAAAGTTTGACAGAATGACATTTAAATAATCTTCACGGGCCACATTGCAGCTCACCAGCCACAGGTTAACCAATTCTGATCTACGTGTAAATAGAACGATTATAATCAGATGGAACAGAAAGTAACAGAGTATGAGAAAGACTTGGAGACCGAACAGAGAACAAACTGAGTTTAAAATTATACCTAAATAAGGCCATGTTCGTTCGTCAGAACTGAAGCCGCGCGGGGAACTGCAGTACTTGGACACATGCGTTCCGTCATTCGGTGCTAATTAATTTCTTTGAATAAGATGGATGAGCGATCAGTCATACGAACCTACAGCCAAGCGAGTAGCACAAAATAAAAACTAGATAGCATAACAAGCCTGTCTCCCTAGTTCCTTCACTAATTAATTACCTGCTTATACTTCTGACGTGTAAGACCTATGGATTTCTCTACACGGTAACTTGTTTAAACACATCCGACATGAAAAGAAACCAGCAACACGCACTCTGTGTGCGTTGGCAGAAAGTTATATCTTCAGGATATTATATTTCAGCATCCTGCTGCACTGGTTAACGATTTAATTTGCAGGGGCCTTCTTGAAGGTGCAACTTCTCGTAGTGCTCCTGGACCGTTTGTGTGCTACATTGTCACTTTTTCATGCCCGTACATGATATTTCTGCGACATGATTCGATCTTATAAGGTCATTTTCAGGTAGATACTTTTAATTAAGTGCTACACTGTATTTTTTTTCTAGTTCAAGGTAGCACACCAAAAATCTACGAGCATGTCTCCCCTGAAAATTATAAAATATCTACAGTACTTCGATAACTGAAATATTTATGCAACAAATATACAACTTCATTCGAAACAAGTGAAAATTGAATAATATGGAACTCTGCTAATACGGCTTTCAGAAATTGTATCAGTGGTGATGTGGACAAGATTGTGCTCCGTGGCGAGCAACATTAACCGGTAATTCTACGATTCTATTATACATATTCTTTTTTTTTATGCTAAACTATAACTGTATCTGTTCTATTACATGAATGCCAAACTTGGTCTCTCGCCCTATAATGGAAGAATACATACAATATTCACAAATCTTTGAATAGGAAACTGTAAGGAAATCATCTGAAATGATTATCATAGCAGCGAACACAATTTAATCTCTTTTTTATTCTCCATGATGGCGATTTTTATTTATTATTGGCTTTATGTAAAATTTGAAGCTTTCACGGCGAATATATGTCCTAAAATTTTCTCGGGCCATCAGCCGTGTCAATGTTGAATTAAAATCTCCCGTTTTGGAGATCTCCTCAGTCCCCATCATGAGGGTCGATGTGGTGAATAGCGACGAACCCTCATCCACCACAACAACCCTGATGAGGGAGAACCGAGGAGACATCTGAAACGCCGATTTTCAGTTCAGCACTGGAACGACTGGTGGCCCGAGAAAATTTTAACGTGTTATTGGTGTTCCCAAACAACTGCCTTTATCTCATTTTCGAAGGGCTGTTCGCTCCTTTAGCCTTGTGATTGCATCCTGTGTCTGGTGACGAAACAGCATAGTGGTCACAACTAGGGCGCTTGTCTCCACTGCTGGCTTCGAAAGAAAGTCACTTAGAGATTAAATCTCTTCTCTACTGGATTTTTATTATGACACCGTGCAGTTTGACATATTGTTCCCAAAGTGTCTGAGGATTTCCTTTATTTATGCGTAATTTAACGGCCTTCTCAGCATTTCGGCTAGATACTAGCACAACACTAGGAAGATTATTGAACAATGAACTAAAATGGATGTGGAAGGAGAAGAGAGTACCCTAATTGGAAGGACCATCCCCATATTTTTCTGGAGGGACAGAGGAAAACTAAGAAAAAACTCAGTTCGGTGTATGCGATATCCCATGGAGATTTTAACCTGATATTTCCCAAATGCAAGTTAAAAAGCGTCACCGTTTGAACCAACTTGTTCGGCGACTATTAGACGCCCACAGCCTCTAGAAGACCACAAACCATGAAAACGTCAGCTCTAAACAAATCTAATTTCATTGTGCATTTATCAATGCTAGTGGGGAAAGTCAATTAAGATCCAACGCACAATAATTTCTTTCATATTGTCACGTGTATTAGTGAATATAAACGGGGTTTGTATTGGTGAATGGATTTATTGAACACTGACAGTCGTAACTACAAATAATTATAACAGTCTCGCCGGTTTACACACTGTACAGACTGCTGTAACTACAACACACAAAATCTCCTATAGCTGCTATAGTCGTTGCTTGGTAACGAAACTTAGCTGATTAACACTTCACAGATGAACGCTCAACTACTGAACTGCCTTCTGAATTCTCTGACGAATTAATTACAACTGTCTCGTTCTTCTCTGCACGGCTCCTTATATAGCCTACCGGTAACTATGGGAAATGTCTGTTGCCACGGAAATGTGTTTACCGAACCGGATTTGTTCTTTGCTGCGGGAACGTATGTTTGGCGAGCCGTTGTCTAGTAATGGACTTACGTTATGGCTCCGCTATTCCGGCTTTCAGGCGTCATGTCACAATAATTTCATCAATAATCTGTCCCTTTTTTTATTTATCTCATTCATGCTTTTATCTCATCCTTCCATTTTCCGCCGAAACGGTGGATTTACACCTTCAACCTCCACGCGGAACAGTTTCAAGCATAGAATTGCCACCTGTGCAAAACAGGCACCTAATATCTACTGCAGCGTAACGCTCACGTAACATAACAAGCATAGTCAGATATCGCACATCCATGTCCATTAACTGCATCATATATATAGATTAGCATAACAATGGATAAAAGCGATTTAGTATATCAGCATCCCGTTGGTGTAGAAGCACGTGAGTGGATACCTTGCAGTTCTTATAAAGATATTAGCAGTTCGATAGTATATATTTAAGGTTCCGTATCGTTAGAAATGTTGCATGCGCCAACGAAATAATTTATGAGTTAACACACTTTCATTGACATTGTCTCTCTTTCACTTCAGAACATCCAGTTTGGTCCGGAAATATAATGTATATTAAAGTATTATAATTTTGTGCCATGTGAAAGTATAATTCTTTAAGGTGGACAGTATTCACATAGCAATTATATGTTTCAGAGCGTGCCAAGTTTGCACTCCCAATGCCACCAACCATGTGTGGAGTCATTGCCAATGCGTCTTGGCTGACGGCGTCGAGAGGGGGATCCTCACTGTTAACAGAATGCTGCCTGGACCCAGCATCCAGGTGAGTCTTACGAGTATACCCGTCAATATAGCTGAACTGGTCAAGAAGCTTGTTACTTAGAACAATGTAATTGTGAAATTCAGTTTAAATCAATTCAAATGAACACTCAACCAGTTAAGATTATATAAGTATTCTGGCAAATAACCAAAGAATTGTTCCTTTATTATTCCTATATTTTACTGAGATTTAAATTTGAACGCATCTGAAACTGAACTGTGGGTACTTACAGTAAGAAGGGCAGTTAATCAGTAATTGTAGGGCAGCTTGTTCCTTCTGCGTCTTCTCTACAGTTCCAAATAATTTTGGATTTAACTCTCACATCACTTAAAAGTCTCTGACGAGAATTTCTTCATCTTGGCAACCATTGGAAGGCGAGGCACAACATAGTGTTTCCTTTTTGAAAAAAAAATGAGGGTGTCATGGCATTCGTAACAAATTTCATGAAAATCATCCAATTACTTTCCTCTACATTAATGTCTATATTTGATTCAATATATCTGCCGTCGGGTCTGTCACGGTAGCAGAACGGTCTAAGGCACGTACTCTCTTCGCCCACTCGGAAGCCGGGGTCGTGGATTCGAATCCCACACAAGGCATAAATCTTTGGTATGTGTATGTATTCATTCTGTGTTCGAGTTGTCCTGTGTTTAAGTGGAGTCATTGCGACGAGCTGATCACCCGTCTAAGGAGTCTTATCATCTGTAAAATTATCATGAAACTAAAATTGAGAAGCCAGGGCTCAAGGGGCTGTAGGACCAGTAGAAAAAGAAATACATGCAGTCGGACATACATGCCCCTTTAAGCAGTAGGATTCTAATTGCTTTGTCAAGCCTTGCGTAGGCTGAAGCTCATAGCATAATGGGGTCAAGTGTATGCTTACATACAGTCTAGACCAGAAGGCGACAAATTGTGGTCCGAAGAATATTTTTATCTTCTGAGAGTAACGTCGTGTGGTCTGGTAGTTCCTCCTGGTGGCTTGAAGGGCTTATTCTCCGACCGTGAAGCTGGAGGCAGTATGTTCCTCATTAACGTCGATGAAGTACCGGACTATACAGTGTTACCTGCCAGAAGACAGTCATCATTGTCACCACAGTCGGAACCTGAGATCCTACAAATTATCGTTCTTTCCCTCCATAATTTTCAAATATTTTATATTAATTCAACTGATCACTGTGACCGCGCCGTCTGGGGCATAAAATATGTTCGCTCGCTCGAACGTTGGGATCATGGGTTCCAATCTCACTCAAGGCATGAGTGTTTTTGAGTGTGCGTTTATTATGTGTTTGTGTTGCCCTTTGTGTAGGGAGCGGCTTTGCGACGGGCTGATCACTCATCCAAGGAGTCCTTCCGTCTGTGTAAGAAAGACTACGAAATTGAAGAAGAGGCCAGGGCCCAACAAAGGGCTGTAGGGCCAATGATGAATGAAATATATCAATTTATCCCCTTCAAGCGCGCTATATGTCCCGACTGCCGCGCCTTCCTTACGTCCACATGAATGAGTTGTACAGAATGGAAATAAGGGATGGAATACAGGTTTACCCTAGCGGAGTACAACTTTCTACTACTGCTAAGCTTAGAGAGAAGAGAGCTTAACAACAGAAGGTGTGCGTTGTTGTTTCTGCTGCAGATTGTACCTTTTACGACCGCTCGAACGTGAATGTGTTACATTCCACAAATACTTACTGTGACTGACAGCATTCTTTGTCTGCTCTCCCATGCTAACATACCCCATTGCATTGTAGTTCTATATGCGATGGCTACTGCGCATTTCTGAGTATTGGAGATTCTTTTCGGACTGACAGTAGTAGCAACTATGGTAGTACTATTGACACTCTAATAGGACCGTCTCTTGGATCTAGTGGTCAGAGTTCCTGGCTATAGATCCAGAGGTCCCGGGTCCGATTCCCGGCGCTACCAGATTTTCTGAGAAGTAATGAGTCTGGAACGGGATTCACTCAGCCTCGTCAGGATAACTGAGGAGCTATTTCAAGGAAATAGCAGCTCCGGTCTAAAAAAAACGAGATTAACGGCCGTGGGGATCCGTTGCGCTAACCACGTGACACCCTCTATCCGCAAAAGTTGGCACTAAATTCGCCGACAAGCGGCGGTAGCTTGGCCTGTGTAGTTCGCTTGTGGACTAAAGCCATGGAGTTCTTTTTCTTTGTGTCCCTTAATGTATTGGATTGACTGAACAGAACATTCTAGAAATGCCATGCCCGGCTACACTTCATTTAACTGAACACGTCAAAATGCTAGGCTTACCGTTTGGGGTTCCCAATTCAATGATGCATATGCAGAAACTCTTTGTGGCACTCTGTAGTTCATACTCTTCTTGATTTCCGCCTTGCAAGTGGGCTAATGGTCTTATGATGAACTAATCAGTCTCGTTCTAAACATAACGTAACCTGCTGGCTTTTTTTAATATCAGAGTACAAACTTGTGTAATCTAAACACGTACTTGGGCTGTTAGTAGGAGCCTGAACTGATTTCACTAAACTGAACGGCTAGGGACTGAAAAGTCGTAATCTCTTCCCGGACAGTGGCGAATTTTCCTCTTAGTCCATGAGACCACCCACTTTCTTTTGCAATCGGTTGTCATAGTTTTGTATAAATTTTAGAAGGTTTTATTCTTTTGTTATGTAACCTCGTCATAGAGATGTATGGAATGGTGGAATTCAATTTCATGAATTTTTAACCTCGGTACTAGTTGAACATAATAGGTCAGCTTCATGCTCCCGTCGATTTATTCCCGAGCAAGACTTTAGGACCCGTTGAAAACGATCATGGATAGGTAAAAATTCGATACGGATGCTCTGACGTAGAAATATTCCTAGTTGTTCACATAGTGAAATCCTAATACTACAATTCTTTCAAGGCTAGAATATTATTGCAGATTTTCAAACACTGAAGAAACTCTTGGCAGCATTGATAGAATATCATAAACTTCTCATAAATTATACATTTCATAGATCTAATACATGTACGTATACAAGTACAGGGTGATATTTAAAAGGCAACCCTGTTTCAGGGTTGTTCACAAGAGCGCTAAGACCATTTTGGCGAAACGCTCATGTACAGTACGATGATTTTAAACGAGAATTTTAAGTCAGGTCTTTACAACAGGTCTTGTTGCAATAAGTTCTGGTATTGTGTCCCAGCATGTTGTGTATGTGTATTACCGGGCACAGGGCACAATGACGCGTGTTCATAGACACTGCCTGCAATTCCAGGGCTGCAATGTTGGCAGTGATGTATAGGATATGCTACTTTTCATTTCATCCAGATTGCATGGGATATTGTGGTAGGCATTGTCCGTAACGTAGTCCAGTGGTGATGAATTTAGCGAGTGTGAGGGCCGTATTCTTCTCGAAGTGATTCGCTCTCCAAGCAACAGGGATGCCTCGCGCCTAACCGCTCGTGCTGTACGGCATGTTGCCCTGTCTTTAGCAGGTATCCGTGAGACACATGGGTCTTGCTTAATTGCATAGTGCTTAATTAATTCAGCACAGTGACAACT